TATTACTCTGTTTGACTTTGTTTGCCCATTCCACAGAAACTAATAGTCTGTACACTTGTACATCTGTACATTTTGCCAGTAGATGTTGACTGTCTTTATGAGTGAGTGAACCATTCAACCAGTTCATTCAAAAATGCGGATTCATTCCGGAACAATATAAGTGAGTGACTGAGTAACTGAATCATTAACTCATCTAATTAGAACTACGTTGTGCTTTTTATATTTCCAGCATCAACGTAATAGAATTGTAGAACCACCTGCAAGCACTAATTGAAAGCAAAGGTCCGAGTATATTTAAGGATTATGAAGCTTCAGGAATGCTTTCAGAGACATCAAGAAAAGTCCTTGTGAAGATAGGAGTCAGTGCGTTGGTGGAACAAATTGGATTGTAAGTTTACAGTTGATAAATTAACTAAAACAACTGTGAATGTGATAACGTATAATGATGTTGAATACTTTGAATACACACTGATTACTTTTTAAAATTTGAATATAATTGGGAAAAACTTGTAAAACAAACTGCTGATCAGCAGTAGAGAAAACTGACTAAATCTGGTTCCTGTATTTTATTTTAATGTATTATGTACAAGTTGAATTGGGTAATTCTTCCATGTTTTGTCTTTGTTTTGCTTATAGTTACCCTTGTAATGAAGAGAAACGGATGTTGGCAGAAAGTGTGGTGACACTGTTTTCTTCTCTGAAGATCAAGATGGGAGAAGAGAATGAAGGATTTGTAAGTTGCACTTATTAAAACGCACAAAGCCCACTTTATGCAAATGCAAATTGGAATAGTAAGTGTGGTATGTTAATTGGTTAACAGGTTACAAATCAATTGAAAATTTAGTAACACTAATTTTTTTGTAAAGTGGTTTTATTTTTTTAATTACCAATATTAGTTACAATAACACCAAAAGTACATCCACTCTGCTGGTTTGCTCGTCACACATCATGGGTTCTTGTAAAAGTTACAATTGTTATCCTCCCCCTTTCATCCAGGAACATTTCTATGACCCAGTCTCCCACAGTGGATTTATTGAGATGAGACTTAGAAATCTACGGAGGAGGCTTCATTATGATCAGCGTCGCTACCAGCGCAAACGTAGTCGAATCAGTGATTCCTCTGGAGTGTCTATCACTTTGGAAATGACTGCTGAAGGGGAGGAGGAGTCCTCTCGGGAGTGGACGACTGTGATCAAAAGGATGAAACCATCTCCAGAAAACCTCAATACCATCAAATTGGGTTACAAGAGTCAGGTTCAGACTATGTTTCATTGGAAATTGGGCAGTCCATTAACAAAAAAAATGACTGTCCCAAATGTTTTTCCAGTCATGTTTGGATCTTTGGAAAAAGGTGTTGTTTGTTGAAAGCATGAAAGACTTTGGCTATGAACTTGACACATGTAGCACTGTTCATGTTTCTCACTCTGTTAGTGTGTTCGGTCAGACTTTACAAACTGGTTGTGTACTTGCTTTAAACTGTGACTTCAGAGAAGAGCGTCTCTTTGGTGAAGTTTTACACATAGTTCCACAGTGTGAAAAATAAATTGTTTTAGTTTTTCTTAAGAGTTTTATCACAAATGTATTTTCACCCACACTTATATGCTTATGCAGACCAAAGAACAAATGAATACAAAGTGATTAATTTGAGCGATGCTGCTGATGTAAAACCACTTCACATGATTTCCTACAAAGAAAACCTTTTTGTAAATCCCAGATATAAAATTGTTTAAAAATGTCTTTATGAAATTCAAATTACATGTGAACGTTGACTTGTGTATGTAATGTAGCAGTCAAGTTTTAATAAATATATATATTTTTTTTTTAAGTGCTTTTTTTATATATTGCATTCATTTTAACTGGTCAAAAATAGCACATTTCAAGAACACAAATTATGTGATTTATGACACATTAGTGTGTTAAATATTTTAACACACTCCCTGTGTTAAGAAGAATAACGCACTGGCTGAGTTAAAAGTAACACAAAACATGTCCTTAACTAGACAGGCTTTTTTTTTTGTCTACAAAGTGTGTCAACAACAGCGAATTTTGTGTTATTTATATTAGATATGATCGGGTACAGTAATTTGATTAGACATTCTAATTAATGTGGATATTTTGTTGTCATCACTTTTAAAAGACCGAGAGCAAATCATTACCGACAGAACTACAACAAACTACCAAATTACAAATTAAGCGAATCATCCACTGGCTGTAATGTGGATTGCATCAACCTGTTAATGCAACGACATTGGGAACTGTGGTGGTCTCCCTTTCAGAGAGCAGCACACGATCTGAGAAATGCTGCGGAGCGGGCGGGAAAACACGGAGAGGATTAACGGAATCAGCGGATCTTTAGCGGAGCGTGAACAGACCGCTTGAGCTGGGGTGATGGGGGGGATTGGTGAGAGGGGCAACTCAGCTGATGAGGGCAAAGGGGCAGTGGCTCTAGCCACGGGGCCACCCCCCTGTGCACGGCCCTGTTTTATAGCAATATGGATGAGATTGTGGCTGGCATATCAAATGCGGCTTTACGGAGCTCAACAGCTCTGAACGGCTCTAGCCCAAGCTGCAGTGTTGCCCGATTGGAAATGTCCAAGTATCGTACCAGAAGCTCAAAATTATCGTATTTGGAAGAAAATGATCGTACACGAGTAAAAACGTACAGAATACAGCTATTCATCTACTAGACTAGAACAACAACTTTTTGACACAACCTTCAAATTACCACAAGAAATAAATAACTATGCTATGAAATACGTTTTATTTTTTCCCAAATTAATTTTTTTTTTTATTCCAAATTTACATTTTTTGGGATTCTGTTTTTTTTTTCATTTAAATTTTTCTGGACTCCTTTTTAAATGGTTAAATAAAATTTTATTAATCAAAAGCACGTCTAATTAAATAATGAAACGTATACAATTCAACATCAAATCTATTAAAAAGTTTAACATAAATTTTAGAAGTTTAGGGTCTTATGAAATGTTCTATTTTTTTCACCTTGTTTATTGTTATCAAATTCTGTGTTTTAATATGTCTAATTATTTGAATGCATAAAAACCACTTTTCTTTATAGCCTTATGGTTTTTTTCTTTAGAAATTCTGCATTGTGTATTTTCATTTTTCTGGTTATCGAATGAAGGCATAACACATTAATTTAATTTATCTTTTAATGAATGAAAATTAAACAAATTAAATTTTTTGGCAAACAAAGGGGACTTACAATTCAAATTAAAACATGGAAGAAATATTGTGATTATTCCTTAATAATTTTAGTAGTAGTAGTTGTACGTACATTCTACTGAACAATAGTAATCCATTTCTGGCAGAAACTATATATTTTTGACTCTCAGAGCAGTTCTGGGGATGTTGTTCATGTATTTATGTCATGTATGCGCACTTCAGTACCTATGTGTGTAGTAAACAAAACCGCGTGACATTCATTCAGACCATAGACTATGATTCAAACAGACACAGAAAATGCAGGATTTATATTTAAATAGCCTTTTTGCGGCTTAATATTTACAGATACTAGTCCATATCACGATTTAAGTGTAATGACCTTCCTTTGATTAATTCATCCAAACTTTGACAAATTCCGTGACATTCCACGTTATACAGTAAATTCCGTTGACTGGATTCCGCAATTCCATCCGTGTTTTCCGCATCACGGAAATCATAGGGCCATAGGCGTACCTTGCGGGAAGGTCCAAACTCCACCTCTGAGTTGCTGTCATCAGAATCCTGCGTGTTGCCAGATGTTGAGGGTCCTGAGGTGTGCACCAACCCATTTAGAGCATCTGTAATAAGCCAATTTCATGGCTTTGTTTTGATGAGGTTGACTTTGGAAAAAACACGTTCTGAAATTTCGAAATTATCGTACATTATGGGATTTTTTAAATTATTGATCGTACATCGTACAGAGGTCAAAATTATCGTACAAATACGATAATTATCGTATGTCTGGCAACACTGCCAAGTTGTGATATAAACAAACGCTATTGGCTATTTTCAAAAGGGCTGCTTGATTTGTCCCGCCCTGTCTTCCTGTTTCAGTTAAAATTATGTCAACACATAGAGTAATGCTGCGTGTTTCTAAGCCAGGGCTGTCCAAACTCGGTCCTGGAGGGCCGGTGTCCTGCAGTGCTTAGCTCCAACTTGCCACAACACACCTGACTGGAAGTTTCTATCGCTGCGTCTGAAATCGCATACTTCCATACTATACAGTAAGCGAAAAACAGTATGCGAGGCGAGTAGTATGTCCGAATTCATAGTATTCGAAAAACAGTAGGCAAGAAGTACCCAGATGACCTACTACTTCTGCCCGAATTCCGTAGCATGCATACGATGGACACTTTACTATCCCATGAGGCCACGGGAGAGGAGGCGTCATATTCGAAAATGGCGGAAGGCGGCGACGCGGCTCTTTTCAAGTGTAAGTACCTCAGGGAAAAACGTTATTCAATGTGGTTAAATTGCACTTGTTTAACATGATCTAAGTGAACGGCTGACTTATTGAAAGTTTAAACATTGTAAATCGATGAGATGATTTCGTGAATCGGCTATAAAAAGATGTTAAATCATTGTTATTACTGAGCATATCAAGTTAACGAACAGATCGAGCTAGTGTCAATGCTGTTGTACATCAGCTTGTTAACTGCTTTTTTAACGGAGACATTCGTTGTTAAGCAGTTTAATGCGATTAGAAAATTCCACAGACTGTAAAACATTTTTTCCCCCTCTTTTACTAATATTTAGTTGATATTTTGTTAGCTACATACTAAGTTACTGTTAATAAATATGCCACAGCTTGTCAATGTTTGCATTAATGGATTGATAATTGTAAAAAAGGCCACACACAGGTTATATTCATGTGTCTTAGTTTCCCTTGCAATAAACTACAGTCGACTCAGACGCAACTTCCATCCCGCGAGCCAATCAGCGCTCCGGGCAGGATGCGCAGGTCAGCGGTCCCACCCACTGAACTGAGTTAGAACGACCGGGAAGGGGACGGATGCTAGCAGTACTGTAGCTATTTATCTTTGCTAAAGTTGTGTGCGTGCCTATAAATAGAAAACCACACAAACATGAAAACCAAAATGTCTTCAGTGTACTGAGTTTGTGGTGACAATAAATGGGTTATTCCCGCATACCTGATCATCTGTGGTAAAGTCTCTAACCGGACGCTCCGTAGTGGGTTTGTTATCAACTGGCAAATTAACAACCAGGAAGAAGAGCTACCAGTAGCCATTCCTTTTTACATGGTCCTTCGAGCCGGATCTCCCAAATTTACTATGGAAAGGATGTCACAGCATGAAGAAGATGAGCCGATCGTGCGTGTCAGGAGGAAGACAGCCCTCCCTGCGCGATATGAGGATTATAATCTCAGCGGCTTCACTCTCCCAAGGCTGTTTCCTGAACCCATGTCACCACATTCTCAGTTTCATCCTGCAGTGCCTCCCATCCCAGAACCAGAGGATGGTGCAGTTGGTATCACTCCACCACAGCTACTGCGTAAAGAGCCTGATAGCCCTCAACAGTGGTCTGATGAAGAACCATGGGGCTCTAAAACCAGCATCCTTCAGCGTGAGAATAGGGATCTACGCCTTGCCCATGACAATCTCCTACAGACCCTGCAGACGATGCAGCAAGAAAGGGACACGTTTCAACAGGCAACAGACCACCAGTATTCACAAGAACTTTCTCAGCTGAAACGACAAATGCAGCAGTTACAGATTCAAATGGAGCAGCGACATCCTGCAGCACAGTCTTCTCCGCCTGCCACCCCTACGCGACCTGTACCTGCACCACGCAGTTTGCTGAGAACACGACAGAGTGATAAGAGCTTTTCACCAGTGTCAGCCTTACGATTCAGGTCTGCTGAGGCAGATCAACCTGAGCACAGTTCTGAGGCATTCCTAGCTCCAATAGCTCTCCCTAGAGCAAAGCCGCACTCCCCGTACCACGCATCACACTCTGAACATTCACGGGAGGAAAGAACCTATTACTCTAGAACTGAGACGCCTTACAGACTAAGTCGTTATGCATCAGGCGAACCAGAGACCGCAGGCCCTCTAACCTTTGAATCCGCCCGACGCTCTCACCTGCCATGCAGAGCATCCAGCCCAGTTCTTCCTGAGCTAGAGCAGATGTACCGAGGTCCGACCCCCACAATTCCAGACTTTGTACATCCGAACCCTAGAGAATTCTCGCGGCTCAAGACAGCTCTGGAGAACATTCTGCCAGCTACAGCCACAGAGAGATTCAAATTCCAAATACTCACAGATCACCTCAAACTAGAGGAGGCCCTGCTTATCGCTGATTCATACAGTCATTCCCAACAACCCTTCACAAAGACCATGGCAGCACTGGATCAGCAATTCGGACAGTCGCATCAGCTCGCGTTGCAATGCATAGCAGAGCTCATGGATGGTCCAAACATAGCCAGTGGGGACATTAAAGCATTCCGACTCTTCGCCCTCAAGGTTCGTTCCCTCGTTGGCATGCTAGAGCAACTAGGAAGGAAGGGCACCTTTGAGTTGCAGTGTGGCTCACATGTCTCCCGGCTCCTGGGGAAGCTGCCGCACGACCTCAGGTCAAGTTTCCGGCGCTTTGCACATCCACACCAAGTGCCAATCCCC